CTGCTGCCCGAGGGTCATAACTCACGTCTCGGAATCATTTATAATTTCTTCGGCGACACCTTAGGTTGACAAAGGCGCGTTTCTGACTAGTAATTGGGACGCGGAATGTGAACCATTCGCGAGTCTTAAATGGACTAATGATGTGCGGGGAGGTTACTCGCGATCGCGGACTGCTCTTCAGTGCTCTAGTTCGAAGATCCTTTTCTTGAGGAACAAGAGGACAGGGTTACTGTGTTCCACCATACAGCCTTGTTGTTTTGTGGTAAATTAGGAGAAGTAGTAACAAATTGGAGAACTGGTAAACATTTACTGTCGGGAAGCCATGAGACCGAGTGCGAATCCCGGCTTAGGCAAAAGTTTTGGCTCCACATCAGCGTTTTTGTGAATACTTTTGCAACGCGAGCTGCGGCGTAAACGGCAGTTATTGAAGGAGGTTAGAGCAGCAGGGATGGCCGAGTGGTTAAGAGGTTAGACTCATGTCTGCACCTCTCCGAAAAACCGCGAGTTCGATCCCTGCCGAGGCTCTAAACCATGCCTTGCAAAAATTGCAAAAATGGTTCTAGTACCAGCGTCAGGCCCAGGTTGACAGGCCGGCTGATGAAGACCCCAGTCACACAAAAATATGTCTAAAAGTCGAAAAAATCAAGGAAAACTAATCAGCTAAGCTCAGGGAGCAGGTTTTCATCTGTTGTTCAGCACTATGTGAGTGGATCTACATTTCTCCGTTTAGGTAATTCAAGTTTCCTGGAATTGCAGTGCTATTGTTGTGAACTATTTGATTATGTTTGGCGGTAATCTCATAATCTATGGATTTTAACAATGATATTCTCCTTGGACTGATCCAAATTTGAAGGTTATATACACTAATATAAATAATGGCGAATTGCGTATAGCTTGGGAATGTTGTAATCCCGGCCCTTTATGGGATCTGTGTCTCATCCGTCCTTATCCCATAATACGAGGGCTTGAAGTGAGGTGAAGAAGACTTGTCGAAGTTTGCGTCTTATAAAATCAATTGGATATATTTGGTCCCAAATCTACAGAGATCTGTACGTAGCTTTGATTTCTGGCAAATGAGACTGTTCGGGGGGGGGGAGCCACTCCATTTTTTTTTCTCCAATACTCAATCAAGATAAGGATTAGAGGGCTCACGACACGTAATCGACTCATTTAAAGTAGACTTCTGATAAATATTGGTGTAATGGGTGAGAAACCCTGAAACGTTTTCACATTTCCGCCTGCCATGACCCAAGGGAACGGTCCTGGACCAGGAGAAAGGACACCTCCGCAAAGGGCTAAGGGTGCAGGAGCTCCAGGGTGGATCACCTGTGCAGAAAAGTGGATGGATGATGTGGGCAGGTAGTGTGGAATGTAGGACATCCACACGTCCTTATCAAAGTACGCTTCGATAATGAAGTTGTGTCCCATGTTATGATATCTATCCGTAGTGTCTTGACTAGCCTAAAGAACTCGCTCTCTAGTATGCTACGGATTATAGATAGCAAATGAGTGCCCTCCTTGCCTTTTTTCTCGAATTGGATTTTTGTTTCCATTTCTGCAATGAGACTTTGATTTACTGTCAATAGGTGGATGTGGAGATGATATACAATGCATTGAGGTTCTAGTTTACCCCCCCCCCCCGACAAGCCTTCACCTCTCGGGTTATTTTTGTATTTGATATTGGTGGAGTCGATTTAGAAGCGAACATATGAAGCTTGAAAGTGCAATTCTTCGGTGAAATGTGCGTAATTAATGCAGAGAAGCGTGAATTTTGTAGTATAGCTTTGTTGAAATTCAATGGGCTACTATTTTTGGCTTTACTGGAGAGGTAATATACTTATTCTCCATTGATAGAAATTAGGCTCGACGGGAATTCTGTTTAGGAATACGGATATTAATTGATGTACTTTATCTGCGTTAATGCTGCCGGTTCCTAATTAGCTTTTGATTGGTGCTAGGTGTAGAGGTTGTTTATATATGAGGGATTGTAACAGTAATGTGCTGCTGGAGGCGTGTTGTGTGTGTCGTCTAATGAGAAGGATCAGATGAGGTAATATCGAGGACTTTGTGACTGGCTTATGTCATCAGATAATGAATGGAAATGAATGGCCAGGTGAGAGTTGTGGTAAAGACAGAGACAGTAGCGCTCTGTTTTGGTTGCTGGTCCGTTGAAACGGAAAAATTTTACAAATTTACGTGATGCATCAATCAGTCTCTTTTGAGGCTTCCTTCTTGTTTACTTTTTTTGTGTTCTACTCATTCGCGTACCGCGTTAATATCGAGGACCGTTTTTCCATTATCCTTTTTATCTTTTTTTGGAAAATTAAATTCTATCTATTAATGTTTAGTTATCAATGTTTCATCAGTGAATATAATCTCTTGTGTTTCTCTGCGCTTCGAAAAGTGTGTGCGAACATCTTCAGGAGGCATTTGGTAATTTTTAATTGCTCGAATTAAACTGGGTAAATTTGCATTGTATCTTCCTGCTCTTTATATCGTGCGTCTTTTTAATCACAGGCACTCAATATGTTAAGTTATATGAGTCTGCCTATTGTATTGTTTAATTTTTTGGCTCAATACAAGTGGGAGTGGGCGCACCACGCTTTCGCTACATGTCACAGTGACTGCCCTCTACCCCTATCCCTTCCCGCAGATGGCTGTCTTACTCCCTCCTGGCTCATCTGAATTTCCTCCTTTTTTGGGATATGTTGTAGCGGGCAGCCGAACGTAATACAGTTTGTTCAAAGTAAAATGTGGTCGTCACCTCAACTGCTTGTATAGCATCGAAATTTTATCTGTCCTTCATGGTTAACAATGAAGCGGCTGAATTGCTAAGCAGTAGGTCAAATTTCTCTATGACGAATAGCTCCATGGGTGAGCAGCCGTGGCCTGATGTCGCACTACCTTCAATGATCTCTTCATGATTGAAAGGAGGGTACGTTTCGTTGCCTCATCGGCCTTGCGGAGGCTTGAACAGCCAAAAGCTAAGTTGCGAATTGACATCTTCTGCCCCCCCGCCTTCCCCGCCACACACCATTCCAAGCTCCAGGAACAGACTTCATTGACTCCAAATGTCCTTCTAAGAAAGGCATTCGCAAATTTCAGCAACACCTTTTTGTGGTTGACGCTACCTCAAGAAACGACCAAGCTTTGGTGTTTTCGACCCCATTTTTCCAACCATCATGTGAAGAAAAACGCTGTGAACAACCGTGAACGTTTCTTTGGCGGGAAATTTCACCAAAATGTTGATCGGCGTGGTCGGTGGTTTTTTTGCGGGCATGCCTTTGAAGAGTGGAGATTATCCTGCCAGCGCGTGGTGCTTCCCGCGCCGAAAATCCTATTGTGTCATGATTATCCGAATTTACAATACTGCCTGTCACTTAAATGGCTTTATGTGACTGAGAGGGTCTTGTTGGCTGAGAGGCATTAATCACACTTGAGAGAGGTTGATCCCGCTTTGATCTGGCATTGTTTGGGAAATTTTTGACATTCAGCTTTTTGTCGCGAAACAAAACTCCATGAAAATGAAGCGGTTGTAAGGCGATTACGTCAAGTTCGTTGAGGGTTGCATTGTTGACCGGCTTGTTTATTGAATAAGATACTCCTATTAACTGAACTACTTGCGTACTGCGTTTTTTCCTGGAACCTGGGCATTTTGTTCCACTGCTTACTAAATTGTTATTATTTCTGTAGAGCTTAGCCTAGAAAGGCTGGCTGGTATCCGTACCGATCAGACACTCATTTGGGAAAAGTAGCGTCAATATACCGGAAAAACGGTCCCTGCCATCAAGCGCGACAAACGCTGAAGAAGAAGAGGAAGCAGAAGACGGGCTATATTTTAGTTTCAGAGCAATTTTTCACTCAATTTCACTTCCCTTTTGGAAATTTGTTGAAAATGACCTAGTGTGCTTTTGATTGTGAATAGGCACACCCTGCGCGGGTCTACCTATAGACTCCGCTAGGGGGTTTGGTTTGGTTGGGCTTAAAAAATCTTTCAATCAAGTAGAAGGGATACGTTGGGGTTAGTTTCGCCCAGAAAAGTAGGAGTAGATGGGAGCTATCGCAATGTACGGGGGCATTGTGGTGGCAGTGCATTAGAAATCGCGTAAAACATTTCCTTTTGTTAAAATCGGGACTAAGCCTTAGGTGGGAGATTAGAGACTCCAGGGTGAGCAATTTTCATTTTCCCCGAAGTTTCTGCCCTTTCTAGGCTTAGTCCTAAAAATTGCCCCCGTGTATAGCGATAGCGCCGTAGATGGTTTTACATCAAAATAGTGCGACTTTTGATTGTTTATCAAGAGCATAAAGTACTGTTGTCAGAAGTTGGTTAATGACTTATGTAGCTTTTCTTATCCATTTTCGAGTAAATAGTTGGAGTCGAGCTCGACGGCCGCTGTCAATTTCACCTGCATCCGACAACAGGCTTCATTATGCATGAACGTGGTGCACTTTCTCGCTATCGCTTATGCAAATGAATTTACTCTTGGCCGAGTTCACCACAATCTCCGCAAGCGTACACTATCAAATATTTATTAGTCTTTTATTAATCTTTGTACAATAAGTTGTCTAGTAAGACTATAACGAAATGAACACCGCATATTGAGATTTGAGGAATGACTGGAAGGAAAAGGATGACGGGATGATCTCAAAACGAAAAAGAAATGTTCCACGAATGAGATCATCGTGTTTGAGATCATTCCCCGTATAACATCCAGAAAAAAGGAATCAGAATGTTTAGAAGAAAAGGAAATTAGGACAAGTTTGCACACGAGTTGAGCATCGGGCGGACAGTGGACAGCGTAGGAAAGAAAAAAAGAGCAAGTTTTTGAAATAAAGGCGATAATGTGGAAAGTTTGACAGGAAAGAAAAGACAGGCATGAATATTCAATAAAAAATCACCCTTATTAATGAAAGTAACTGCAGCATCTACACGCTCTAATGTATTATCTACATCAATAGATCAAATACTTTTCGAATAAGGAACTGGTAAAAGGGAGAAACTATATACCGAAATAGGTGGCTGTTGCCTTGGGTGGAGGAGGTGGCATTGGTGGCGTTAACGGTTCACTTGCTCCACTAGTACTCGACGAACAACTGACATGATGTGCCATTGTGAGGGGAGTTCGTGAATGTTCCCGGGTTACATAGGAACCCTTGTATTGTCGCTCTCTCAGGAAGTATAAACCAATCAGCAGAATGGATAGCACTATGGCTGCCGAGAGTAGTGCAGCAAGAAGTATGAATAGCTCGCTGGTCTGTGAAAGACCGTATCGAGCACCAAAGAGTACCGCACACTCGTTGATCTGAAAATTATATTTTCTCTTATGGCATATGACACCAAGAAGGGAGACATGGCTTACGTTTGGTAGGCGACAGGCCCCTCAGGTGGCGAGAAGGCAGAGACGCAGAAGAATTTGTGGACGAGTCGCATCGCGTACTGTGTTGGGTATCTTACTACGTACGGTACGCAGCGCTTACTACAGTACTTATATTTAGTCGGCCGCGGCGCGTACTGTATCATGCCGCGTCAAGTAAATATAAGTACTGTAGCCAGCGCTGCGTACCGTACGTAGTAACGTACCCAATACAGTACGCGCCGCGGCCGACTAAATATAAGTACTGTAGCCAGCGCTGCGTACCGTACGTAGTAACGTACCCAATACAGTACGCGCCGCGGCCGACTA